GCTCTGGGTCGGCCACCCGGGCTCGGCGCCCGCCCGTAGGGGGACATCGCTTGGGGCATGAAGGCGCGGCGTCTTGGAGTAGACAGGGCCGGGGGAAGAGGCCGAGTTGTGTGTGCTGGAGAGCGAGAGCCGGGCGCGCTTCGGGTCTGAAACTACCTGTAGCTGCAGCTACCTGTCCGCCCCACCTCGGGAAGAACAACAATGCTCTCTCGCGCGCGTGCGTGTATGTGTGTGGTACGTGAGTGTGTGCGCAGCGTGTGCGGTGTGTGTGCCGGAGCCACTCCACACCCCGATCCGTAGTATTTTGCTGTATCCAGGTTGCGCCGGGGAGCGCGGCACCGCCCGCTTTGCGCCGGGCTCAGCGTTCCTCTTACCCCACGCGCTGCGCACTCCAGCCGGCCGCACCCTCTACTCCTAGGCAAGGACCGGGGCGCCGTAGCCCGGAGCCGGCTCGGCTTCACTCCCCCCTCCCCTCTCTCCCCCGCTCTCCGCAGAGAATGTGATGGACATCGGTCTGACCAACGAGAAGCCCAATCCGGAACTCTCTTATTCGGGCTCTTTCCAGCCAGCCCCCGGCAACAAGACCGTGACCTACTTGGGAAAGTTCGCTTTCGACTCTCCTTCCAACTGGTGCCAGGACAACATCATTAGCCTCATGAGCGCCGGCATCTTGGGGGTGCCCCCGGCCTCAGGGGCACTCAGTACGCAGACGTCCACGGCTAGCATGGTGCAGCCTCCGCAGGGCGACGTGGAGGCCATGTATCCGGCGCTGCCCCCCTATTCCAACTGCGGTGATCTCTACTCGGAACCCGTGTCTTTCCACGACCCCCAGGGTAACCCTGGGCTCGCCTATTCTCCCCAGGATTACCAATCGGCCAAGCCAGCCTTGGACAGCAATCTTTTCCCCATGATTCCTGACTACAACCTGTACCACCACCCCAACGACATGGGCTCCATTCCGGAACACAAGCCTTTCCAGGGCATGGACCCCATCCGGGTCAACCCACCCCCTATTACCCCTCTGGAGACCATCAAGGCCTTCAAAGACAAGCAGATCCACCCGGGCTTCGGCAGCCTACCCCAGCCGCCGCTCACTCTCAAGCCCATCCGGCCCCGCAAGTACCCGAATCGGCCTAGCAAGACCCCGCTCCACGAGCGGCCCCACGCGTGCCCCGCAGAGGGCTGTCGCCGCCGCTTCAGCCGCTCGGACGAGCTGACTCGGCACCTACGCATCCACACGGGCCACAAGCCCTTCCAGTGTCGGATCTGCATGCGGAGCTTCAGCCGCAGCGACCACCTCACCACTCACATCCGCACGCACACCGGGGAGAAGCCCTTCGCGTGCGAGTTCTGTGGGCGCAAGTTTGCGCGCAGCGACGAGCGCAAGCGCCACGCCAAGATCCACCTCAAGCAAAAGGAGAAGAAGTCGGAGAAAGGGGGTGCGCCCTCTGCATCCTCGGCGCCCACCGTGTCCTTGGCCCCTGTGGTCACCACTTGCGCCTGAGGCTCGGGCACCCAGATCCCCTCCCCTAAAAAAAGGGGGGAAAGCTAGCCACTGAGGCGCAGGGGCCGCGCCCTGGTCTCGTCCTGGACGTACGGCCCCCTTGCCTCCCCTTCGATGTCCCCCATTCCCACCCTTGCACACCGGCCGATGGTTGGGGGCTAGGGCTGGAGGCACTTTCTCCTTGCTTCCCCCCCCCCTTTGCCAAGGCGTGGGGGCGGAAAGGTGGCGTCTAGCCCGCTTTGTTCAGTTAGGATCGCCTTGATCCAGGGGCCGTTGGGCCGGGCCAAGGACCTGCGGGGGACTGAAGGCGGGGCCCATCCAACCCTCGCCAGACCCAAGCACCTCACTGTTTCCCCCTCCAGTGTCTCCCTGTGTTCCCCCTCGAATACCCGAGAGGGGGAGGGGGTAAGGAGCGCACCAAAGCGCAGAGCTTGCTGCCCGCCGCACGCACGCGCGCTAGCGTGCGGTGATGCGCGTGAGTGTGTGCGTGCTCGCCTGTATGTGAGTGAGTGTGCGTGTGTATGTGTGTGTGCGCGCGCGCACGCGTGTGTGAGACTCTTGAGCTGAACTGGGCTGTGTCTACCCCCAAACTCTTCTTCACATAGGGTCCCCAAGCCGTTGGGAGATGTCCCAGGCTGGGGACCTGCATGTGGCCGGAGGAGATGGTCTTCCATCTGCTCCGTACTAATGTTTCTTACAGAAATGCCTCGGACGCAGCTGCTGCGGTACTGCTGCCGCCGCCTCGGGTTTGGCCCCTCAAAACCCCCTCCCTTTCCGAGCGCTTCCCTCTTAGGCCTCAGGGCAGTTTGATCTTTGGGGAGAAAGAGCCACCATCTCCTGAGCCTGCCTTTAAAAAAAAAAATCATTTGCTCAGCCCCCCACTTTCCAAAATCCGTGTTCTTGAGCTTGCCCTCTGCCTTTCCCTCCCATTGTCTCCTTTGCCCTCTCAGGTTCTCACTAGGTCTCTCAAGATCTTTACCCAGAGAGGCAGGCCTCAATCAACCACCCGGCTGTTTGTCTCTGTCACATACCGGTCTCTCATTTCCCCCATTCCTGGGAAAGCTGGCTCTATTCATTTGCCCTCTGTGATCGCCAACACAACAGATATAAGTGAAATCTATGTATATGATGTTGGTGTGTGTATGTAGATGTATGTGTGTATTTCTTTATACACATATGTTTACATAACACACTGTATTCCTAGCAAAATCTAAGGCATTTGGTTATCCAGTGCAGTGCACTGGAATAAAGAGAATTTGTAGGCATATACAGCTTTAAATGATTTATTTTTATGAAAATGTTAACCGATGAGATTATATCTACCTGTGTATGTGTATGTGAATATATGTGCACACATGTGTATATATGCATACACATTCTGTTCAAATTGTCCTCAGAAACAGATGGGGACTTTTACATTAATCTGTGTTGCTGGATGAGTGAGGCACATCCCCCCATGCCCCCATCACACTTTCTCCCCGCCCTACCTCACCTCTTCTCAGGAGCCCCTCTTCCCCAGCTGTCCTGCCCAGCCCCTCCTCACACAGGGTGGCCCTTTTGAAGTGGAGACATAGAGAAGGGTGCTCTCTGACACAGCTTCCTTCACAGTCTTGACTGAATGTATACTGTTTCCTATTAGCGTCATTTCTCCTGTGGCCAGTGAGCTGCCCAGAGAGAAGGGACAAAGGTCTGGAGTTTACAGAATGTCTGTTTTTAAAGTCACTTTATGCGTTTCCCACTTTTTTTTAACTAAAAAAAAAAAAGCACCGTCATTTGGTGGTGGATAAATAATACTAAAAGGACTCTAGTGAAAGGAGAGGGAAAACTCAAAAGAGTAGGGGATTGTGAATTTCCAGGTACTCGGGCTTTTTGTAGAAGGAGAAGTTTGCCAGGAGGGCCCATATTTTTTCAGCTGAAGGGTAAAATCTTTCTTTGCAGAGACAGTATTTTGCTGAATACTTTTTATAATGTGATGATTATTTAAAAAACATAAAAATTTTGGTCAGTTCAAAACTGGAAGGAGGAATCAAATATCCTTTAATTTTTTCCTTCCTCCTTCTGAAATATGCATGTCACTGCATGATAACTCTGACTTTTCCTTTGTTTTAATAAAACTGTTCTCAGACATTTAAGCTAAACTAAGAGAAAAATAACTTTGTTGCCAAAAGGTTGTGCTATCCCAATTTTTTATATGTCTGCATGTTTTAAACAAACCAACAAAAGAAAATGCACTCTAACTTAAGTGAACTGAGAGAAAAAAATATCAGGTTTTAAACAGGAAAACCTATGGGGAATGATATTTTTTGAAAGACTTTTGTATACAGTTGAGTACTTAGAAAAAGACAAACCAGATGTAATATATTTTGTGGATGTTTTTATTTCTTGGATTTATAGTACCTTATACTAAGGTTAAAAGATGCTTGATATTGTGAAAAGGTGAGGTTCCTCACCAACATTTCATTTACTCCTTGTCACATTGTTATGCCAATATAATATAGTTAATGAAAACAGCATTTTTAAAAACAAATATTGAAACGGTGTAATGTTGTACCATTTGCCCTGTGAGCAAATGCCAATTCAGTAAATATATTGTGTTTGCTGACAATCAGCCTGCCTTTAAATCTCATTTTATTTCTTGTTTTCATGGTATAAAGTTTTGGTTTGGCCTGGGGTCTTTGTTGTTGTTTGTTTTTGGTTTTGCTCTTGTTTTGTTTGGGGTGTAGTGGTCTGTTTGATAGATTGTGATACCTGGATTTATGCTTCTTGCTCTGAGAACCCTCAGAGTAGAACAGATATCTCTGGACATGGGTCAGGATTCTGTGTGGGTTCTGGTGTTTCTAATCCAGTTTGGAATGCTGGTTCTGAGAGGATTCCACTCTAGCCCTTCTGCGATTTTCGGACTAACAGCGATTAGATGAGCAGATTGGATAAACTGAACTCATGGGTGTCGGGGCAGTGACTTAAATCTTCTAGAACCTTCTCTATGGTTTCCATGGGTAAGGCTCCTGGTTGGTAAACTATCTCTCTGTTGGTCTTAGAACAAGACCCTAAAGGGCCTCTGGAACAGCTCTGAGAAATTCTCTTGCTTAAGCTTTTGAAGCCTGAGAAACAGGTGGAGACTTGACAGGGATTCTTCAGGGTTGGCAAGATAACCAGAGAGATTGGCAGCTCTTCTGTGGTCAGATAATGGGGAGAGGGGAGTCTGGTTTTAAAGTTCTACAGCTTTAATCCCACTTGGACAGACCTTCCAAAGTCCTCCCTGCTTTTCAACATCTAAGAGAGGTGACTCTCCTTAGAAAGTGGTTCTTGTAAGTGACTCAAAGATTTGATGCTTTTAAGGCAAGAAAGGACTCCTGAGATTTGGAGAACACACAGGACAGGGAAAGGTTGTGTAGTGGCAATGCACTGCATCTCGTGATTTCCATCTCCTGTGAAAACAGTGCCTCCCATGCCCTTCCTTATCTCCCTCACCCTTAACTGACTTTTCTAGCTAGCCTAGCGTTTCCACCATTGCTCTTAAGAGAACATTTGCCCTTTGCTCTTTGTCTGTATCTATCTTTTCCTTTATGCTCTAGCCCTCAGAACCCTTTCTTGTTCTAGAGCAGTCTTTAGAAAACTCGATCCTGCCTGCCTCTCTGTAGAAAATTCACCTGAGCCCCTCTGCTGTGTATCTCACATATGATGTGCTTCACCAAAATTTGGTGTTTGATGCTTGACACTGGGTTATGGAAACACAGCACCAGATTGTAATGAGGAGTCAGTTCTACACACATACATACAGAGAGAGAGAGAGAGAGAGAGAGAGAGAGAGAGAGAGAGAGAGAGCGCCAGCCCAAAGTCACAGAAACTGCTCTTGATAATAGTAGCAGGCCCATCTCAGCAAGAAATAGAGATGTTATTTCAGATTGGCTATAGTTACCAGTAATCTAAGGCCAGAGCTGGGTGGGGAGGGTGGTGGGCTGTGGCCCTAGAAAAGAATGTTTTTGAAGTGTGAGATGAATAAAGAGAATGCCGTGTGTAATCTTAAATTCTTGCACCCACACAATTCTAGCTCATTGTCTGCCATCTTGAATTTTTCCTTCACTTACAAAACCAAGAATTCTAAACTCCAGCATTATACACAACCACACAGCTGTCCTCCTTTCAACCAAAGGAGTCCAAGATGGCGGGAAAGTCTCAATGATTGAACCTATAGCCCAGCTCTTTACTGAACTAGATGTTTCCTTCCAGATGTCTGTGTGGTTTTTCAGGTGAGTTTTTTTTTTTTTTTATCAGACTTGAAGATATTATCGCTGGATGTCTTCATAGTTAGTATCCTGCCCCACCTGTACCTTCTCCAACCAAACCAGGCCTTCAGAGTTGTGCTCTCAACAGTAAACCATGCTGCATGATTAATAAGCTCACTTCCCATTGGTGGATGTTACTCAATCCAACCTGGTTCAACCACTGGGTTACTTGGCAATACGGCAGCCTGCCTGGCTGGCACCAACCCAGTGTGGTGTAATCACTGATTCAAACTTTGTAGCTAGCTAGATAAGGCTGCCCCAGATATCATCACACTTGCTACCCAACCTGACTGGGTTTTGTAAGTAGAGAAGAGATTCGAGCCTGAAACTTCAGGACAGAATGGACATAAAGGTATAGACAAATAACCTAGTGCCGTGGCTTGTTCCAAACATTTGAAGGGTCAGGAGGAGAATGAAAGGGTATTGCATAACACGGACACACGCACCGCCTCTGGCGTGGCACACTAAAACTCATGGCTGCAAAATTGTACTCCATGAACTGGGACTAGGCATAAATGAGGTACATTTTAAGAATTTGAGGTGAGAAATGTGTGTTTGTACAGTAGTAGTGAACTCATATTCATAAGTATGTAAAAAGGAATCGCGGGGTGGAGGTTGGTGAATGCAGGCCTTAGCTTCTGGAGAGTTGTTAGGGTTCCCTTAGTTTTTAGTTTATTTTAGTGTTCCCTTTTTAATAATCCAGGATTTGCCTGCATAGATGAGGGGATGGTGAGTTGCC